CAGGTGTGGCCTCAGACCAGCAGAGGGAGGAGCCCTAGTCCTGGCCAATCATCAAGGGGGAGCCCCTCCCCACAGATAAGGCAGGCCTCAGTCCCGCCCTATCCCTCCAATAGCTCCTAGGAGGCTCCAGGTGGTGTTGCTACTCCAAAATTTCCCGCCACTCCAAGGTTTCCCAGCTTCCACCTGGGGATTTGGGGGGCATGGCCTCTGATTAACACAAGGAGGAGCCCTAGTCCTGGCCAATCATCAAGAAGGAAGTAAAAGAAGAAGAAGAGAACCAAAAGCCCCTCCTACCACATATAATGTGGGGACCCAGCCGCATAATCCCTGATCAGTGGTCCCTGGAAGTTCTAGACAGGGTCCCTGGTTGTTTAATTTCCCAGCTTCCTTGTGGGGAATCTAAAGATGGTGAAGGTTTTTGTGTGAGGGCTAGACTTGTTTCAGTATAAGTGAGAGTCTAGGTGTAGTCAATCATCAAGGTAAGAACCTTGGGGGAGGATTAACAACAGGAAGTTGAGGACCCAGCCTAGCTTTGCCCAGGAAAGGGTTGTCAGTTTTCCCATGGAACACAATGATAGCTTTGGCCTGAACAGTGTGTCCTCAATACATACAACAGAGGAGGTGTAGACCTTGTTAGGAATAGATAGTATTTTGAGAAGTACTGAGGTTAGTTTGCACTTCAGAACAGAATACCACAGATTCCTATCATGCTCTTCATAATATCAATAGTAAATCTCATTCAATCCCATCAGGCTGAGCTGCTTCTTCACTTTTGACTCAAAGGTATCCCTAAATGAGGGCCTTGATTTGAGCAGATGAGGGTAAGTCAATAGATAGAGCTAGGTTAGATTAGCAATGAGAAGATTCCTAAGCCTTGCTAGGTATTTATATGAGGACTAAGGAAGCTAAAGTGTCACATCTACACTAAAACACATGAGACACTAGCCTGACATAACCCTGCTGTCAGTCCTGGGATGATTCATAGTAAAGTAGTCAAGAAGTATTGCTACCTTTCATCTTCCTTTTGGCCTAAGAGATGTGAACTCCCTATAAATTTGCTTCAGGTCAGCGTAGTGCTGGGGATGTGGCCCTATCTGAGGGGACCATCTACCCTAGAACTATGGGGTGGAGGGTCTCACAGAGTCTGACGCCACTCTATCAGTCCCAGGTGGCCTGGAGATGTGCTAGTACTCTACAATTACAGGGGACCCTTCAATTCGTCTTATAGGGGTGCCAGGACCTGGGAAGTGAAGATTTCAGTCTGCAACATAAGGTCAGTAGAGCAGAGGAGGCTCAGTACTGGGAACCAAGGTGAGGCACATTCTGAATGTGGGCCAAGGGCCCTGTCCCTCTCAAACAGAGGGAACCCCACAGCAATGGACCCCACCTTCCCCACTGTCAACCCTGGAGCTTCACACTCTGCCAGTTGGTTGTGTCATGAGGAACTTTCTCATGTCCTCCTACAGGATCTTAGGCATAGGCCTACCAGAAAGACAGCAAACCTGTGAGGCTCTCAAACATCACTAAAGAAATCTGTAAGTGAGCTTTCATCAAAGTCATCATGGGTAAGTTTTTCACCTGAGGACATTAACACCGTCCCTCTCACCCCCAGGCTTGTGGGATCCCATCACAACACTCCTGCTCTCACTCCAACCTACTGCTTCCAGCAGGAGGAATCATCATGCCTCCCTCTCCTAAGCGTCCACGCCTCACCTCTGAGCAAGACTTCCAAGACCTGAATGAAGCAGAAGAGTTGGTTGTGCAGGCTCCTGCAGCTGAGCAAGAGGATACCTCATCCATTTCATCTTCTTTTCACTTTTCCTTCCCCTCCACCTCCTCTTCCTCCTCTCCCTCCTCTCTCTCTTGTTCCTTTTCTAAGATCCCAGGCACCGTGGAAGACAAGGAGGTGTCTACTGCTGCAATTTTGAGTACTCCCCAGAGTCATCAGAGTTCCTCTTCTTCCTCCACTTCATACACCAAGGTAGAAGTAGAATCCAGCAGCCAAGAAGTTGAGGGTAGTGAATCTCCCCTTAGAGATGTGCTAGACAAGAAAGTGGGTGAGTTAGTACAGTTTGTCCTCTTCAAGTATAAATCCAAGGAGCTCACCACAAAGGCAGAAATACTAAAAATTATCATCAAGGAATATAAAGACCACTTTCCTATGATTTTAAGGAAAGTTTGTAAGTTCATGGAGCTAGTCTTTGGCATTGCTGTGACAGAAGTGGACCCTAACAACCACATTTATATCATATATGACACACTAGACCTCACCTATCATGGAATGCTGATTGATGACCAGGGCATGCCTAAGACTGGTCTCCTGATACTTATCCTGAGTACGATCTTTATGGAGGGCAGCTGCACCACTGAGGAGAAAATCTGGGAGGTACTGAAGGCAATTGAGGTGTATGCTGGGAAGGAGCATTTCATCTATGGGGACACTAGAAAGCTCATTACCAAAGAGTGGGTGCAAAAAAAATATTTGGAATACCATCAGGTGCCCAATAGTGATCCTGTATGCTATGAGTTCAAGTGGGGTTCAAGAGCCCATACTGAAACCAATAAGAAAAAAATTCTGGAGTTTTTGACCAAGCTAAAAGATACCATCCCTGGTTCCTTTCCAACCTGGTACAAAGAGGCTCTGAGAGTTGTGGGAGAGCCTAGGCAGTAACTGATGGTGCAGGTGATGCTGCGGCTATGACAGTGCAAACTGCAGTATCATGTGCAACAACTTCTCCTGCCTGAATGAAATCTGAGGCAGATTTTTCAGACTGTTTAAAAGGACGGTAAAGGTTCTGAGTTCCGAAGGGCCGTGGTGGAGCTGGAGGGAAGGCAGTGTTCTTTGTGTTCTTGGTTTATATGTGTGATGTCAAGATTTATCTTTTTGGGAGAGTGTATTTTTCAAATAATTTTCCTTTTAATAGCATATTTAATTAGCTTTTGAATCTTAGTTTAGGGGTATTATTCATGAATTTATTATTTTTTTCTTGCTCAAAAGTAATAATTTGGTGTATTAGAAAAACAAATTGAGAAATCTTTCATCTTATTTGTGTGACCTGGAATAGGATAATATGGCACTGGAACAGGAATTTTCTTAAAAATGTAAGTGACCTTATCAATAATACTGGAAATACGTAAAACATAGTGTTTGCATTCCCTTATCCCTTTTAGTTCATTGTTCTGTTAAATTAAAGATATATACCTGGATATATTTGGCTTATTCAATAAAGTAGGATGAATTTAATCTTAAACAAAAGTGTGACTAATTCTTTTATTTGCCAGAGAGTATTTGAGCATTTGCTTTTGGAAGACACTGTGTTCATATGTTAATAGTGGGGATGCTGAGACAAACAAGATGTAGCAATGCCCATGAAATGGGAGAGTGTAGGAACAGCAGTCATGGGAAGAAGATGGCAAGATGTCCTCTGAGACTTAAAGAACATGAAAAGGAGTAAGAAGGTGAAATTCCACATCTAAGAAGTCAAATTTAAATGCCCTGAGCCAGGGTTGTTTGAGGCTTTGGGAATCCACAGTTCCTTCCCTGGTAATTAACTTTATGCTAGGTTGGGTGTTGTCCAGTGCTATACTCTGTGGATGAGTCTTAGTTGGCAGAGAAAAGCCTGGAATAGAAATCTGCTCTGAGTAATTCTTTTTGAATCCTGGATAAACCAGAGAGAAATCTCCACCTAGGAAAGGTATAGAAGATATCCAGTGCACTTATCCTGGTTGTTAGGATGGCCTTAGGCCTGAGCCTAAGCAACTCCATTAAAAAAAAAAAAAAAAAAAAAAAAAAAAAAAAACTTCATTTTAAAAGACCTGCAGTTTCACCAGGCACATCCACAGATCCCTCCAGTATGGCCTCAAATAAATTACTTCCCCTCACCCTGATAAAACAGAGTGAAGCCCCTGGCAGGCTGTCCTCACCTGATGAGAGGGAAAGGCAAGAAGAACAGGGTGGAGACCACCAGACCAGATGTTTCTGACCTTAGGGTAAATGATGTCACTGAGAAGAAATCAGGTGGTAACTGATAAGGATTGAAATGGGGGTCAAAAGCCCCCAAATTTAGTATAAATGATAGAGCAAATGAACAGGGATTCCGCCAGCCGAAACAAGGAAGCACTCGAGCTGGAGAGCCTGATGAGGACCTGACATCCCATCACTTGTCATCGTTCCTGAGCCTCTGCATGATCCTCACCACTCTCAAACTCTACCACCTCATCTGGACCTTGGTGAGAGCCACAACTTTTCCCTAAGACCCCCTCCTCAAGTGATCATCTGCTCCATACCAGGAAAATTCTGCCTTGGTTCCAGACCTGATCACCACAATTTGAATGAGTGTGCATCTGCTGGACTCAAAGCCTAAGACTTAAGACCTTTGAACTTAGCATAAAGAGGGAATGTCTGTCACTAGCCTGTCATGATTAAGTGTGTTTTGCAGTGCTTAGAATTAATCTAGAATTGTTTGCTGTGAATTGTTTATGTCTATTGCAGTGCCTAGCATTAAGGATTGTTGTTTTCTTGATTAAGAACCTATAGAGTGAAACTGTATTGAGTAATTTGAGTGAATAAAGGATTGAAAGGGGCAGAAGCACGTGGACATTCTTTATTTCTCCCCTCGACTGCATAGGTCGCAATTTTGCCCCCTCGAAACACTGGTGCAGTTGAACCCGGTGCACAAATGAATTGTTATATATGACACTTGTGTTTGGTGGCTTGTTTCAAATAATACATCTTGTTGTCACAAATATCAGGATAATTTCAAAAACCCTGTCTCTGATTTTTAAGATTACACCTCCGAAAGCAGACTATGTAGATAATCAGTCTCTACCTAGCAGCCTATTTGAAAACCGCTTTGAAAGTGTATTACAGTTTTCTGAAAAATAGGATGTTACTCCTTTGAAATGGTGCCCAGAAGCCTCTGGGCTGGCACTCTTTCCCTGTCCCGGAAAAGCCTGAGTTCAATCTATTGAAAGGATAATTAATGAGGTTATTTTGAGAGTAATTTGGTCAACTTTAACCAAGGGCTAGAATTTTAGTGAAAGATAAATGAATGGCTTATCCTGGTTTGAATGGAGAAGTAGTTGGGAAGGAGATGTCTACTGTAAGATAGAAAATTCAATGTTTAATCTAAGAAGCATATTTTTTGATATTCTGTGACCTATTAAGCTATATATTCTTTTGAGATGTTCTGGATAATAAAAACAAGAGCTTGATTTTCCAGGAGAGGATAGTAGGATCTGGGTCAAAGTCATACTGAAAGAACTATTTAAAAATTCTAATCAATGTCAGGTACTATGCCAGGTATTTTATTTACAGCACATATATTCCAGCAGCCCCCTGAGCCAGGGCATCTCAAATCTGTTTCACAGATGAAGAATTTAAGGCTCACAGTGCTTGGTAATTTCCTCAAGATCACTTAAATAGTAAGTAAAAGGGCTTAAGAATTGACTCCTGGCCTTAATTCATCTAGACCGATACTGTCCCCATTCCTCCTATCCTGAAACAGACCTTTGATCTGTTAGGTCATTTCTCACTACATGTGAACCAGGTAACAGAAAGTAGGGCCTTGGCCAAGTTATTAAATTATATCTAAAGAAAGAAAGTGACAATGAGAACAAAATACAATTGGGATTTTATGGGCTTTATTTATCTATAATCCTTCTGTTTTGAACCCTAGGCTGGCTGCCATAAGAGCTGACTCTACCTGGGTGACAGCAATTTTTTTGCAGCCCCAGCACACTTTCACATTATAGCACCCTTCTTCTGGTATCCTGTGTGCTTTTGCATCAATCTCTAGAACTTGATGGGCTGCCAGTTTGTCCCAGCAGCTTCCTATGCAGGATATGCCATGCTCTTAGTGGAACAGAGAATCAGCTGTTCTCCCTTTGAATAGAGCATTCCTACTACATGCAGAAGTCCCTTTGATGTTCCATCCCTTACCCTGGATTCTCAGTGATAAGGAAAGCTCCTTTGATATAATTGTTCATTCTGGACAATGATTCCCCTAAGCATCTTCAACATACTCTCAAAGTGGTTTTCAAATAGGCTGCTAGGTAGAGTCTGCCACATAATCTGTTTTTGGAGATGTAAACTTAAAGTCAGAGAAAGGGTTTTTGAAATCATCCTGATATTTGCTTTAACAAGATGTATTATTTGAAACAAGCCACCAAACACAAACACAGATGAATGAGCTTACCTAGGTGGTAAAAAAACCAAAGCTTCCTTCATAAGCCTTGAAGACGAGAAAAAAAACATAGAGATTACTATGTAAATGAATATCTATAAGAAGCCGAGTTCCTTTAATAAAAAAAAACCTAAAGTCCTTCTGGGATGTAAATAATGTTTCCTTGGCAAACATTCTCACTCTATACAGCTATGTTCTCTGTTGTTCAACTTATTTCAATATTTTACTTACAAAGAAAACAATACATATTATTGTTGCAAAAAGTTCTAAAAATACATATAAATCAAAATTATTCCTTTAGAGAGTTCCTTTAAATCCCAGCCCCTACTCAGAAATAACCACAATTAATAAAGGAGATTTATACAATTTAAAAGCTGGTTTCATGCTTTTAAAAAAACTAAATGTGCTATAAAATATACATTTTAACTATGCATGGATAATGATATCTAAATACATCTGCCACTTGCTTTTGCTATTGTTCAGGGTTCAATAGGGTTCTCTCATGATTCCTATATTGAAGTAAAAATGTACCATTATTTGGAGATCAGTTTTTTTTTTTTTTTTGAGAGGCAATTGAGTTAAAATGTTGTTATGGTGGGCTCTAATCTAATGTGACTGGTATCTTTATAGAAAGGGGAAATTTGGACATAGATGAATAGAAGTAATACGACGTGAAGAGAGGTGGGGCAAAGTCAGTCATCTATAAACCAAGGACAAAGATATGGAACAGATTCTTCCTTCGGATACCTTGCCAAAACCTTGATTTTGGAATACCAGACTCTAGTACTCTGGGAAAACACATTTTTGTTGTTTATCTCACTCAGGTTGTGGTACTTTGCAATGAAAGTACTTATTAAAATGGATGCAGGATCTTTATATAACAGCACATATGGATATATTTTACTTTGAAATTATTCCATAGACTTCTTAATCATTTATGTACAATAACAAATGATATAAATCTCCTGATGGACACATAAGTTGTTTCTCATTTGTTGCCATTATTAGTGTAACAGCAATTGACATCTTTGAACATAACTTCTTTGGGATATGTATGAGATTTCATATATGAAAGACATATTATTATGGAGATCAAAATGAACAGAGTAGGAATATTTTATGTTTTTAAACATGTTGCTAATTTGTCCCAAAAATGTTTTGCTGATTTCATTAATTAATGCATATGAATTTTTTATATTCTCACATATTTAGCAATATTTAAAATTTTGGTCAAATTTATGGGTGTAAAACCTAGGTGAACTTGGGTTAAGTGATGACATTTTTAGATGGAATATCAAAGCTACCAACTATTTAAGAAAAAAGGCATTAAGTAGGTGTTGTGGTTTAAATATGAGGTGTCCCCCCAAAGCTCATGTGTGAGACACTGCAAGGAAGTTTAGAGATAAACTTCCTTTACCTCTAAACTTCCAAGTTTAGAGGTAAAATGATTGGGTTATGAGAGCCTTAACCTAATCAGTG